GTGTGTGTGTGTGTGTGTGTGTGTGTGTGTGTGTGTGTGTGGTGAATGAATGCTGGTAGCTGTGAAGGACTTTGGATCCCCACTGGATCACTAGGAACTGGAGTTATAGACAGTTGTGAGCTGGTGCTGGGAATTGAATCCAGGTTCTCTGGAAGAACAGCCAGTGCTCTTAACCATTTCTCTAGCCTTGTTTTTGTTTTTATTGAGACAGCGTCTCACTCTATAGACCTGGGTTGTAACTCAATATGTAACTCAATATGCCCTTGAATACATGGCGACCTACTGCCTCAGCTCCTCTAGTGTTTAGATTCCAGGAGTGAGCCCCCGTACCCAGCTTTGGAAGTCTCCGTTCTCTCAGAGAAATAGACAACAGGGCCATTGACTTGAGAATGAAGTGTTGGTGAACCAGGAGGAGGGTGGATATGGGAACAGAACAGAATTCTAAATTTTAGAAGGACCCACCTGAAATCAGTGACCTTAACTCAAAAATGATTCTTGGCCACATTCCAGTTCAGACAAGCACATACATTGTCAAGTGAGTAAACCAAGCAGTAAGAACCACAGTTCAACAGACAGCTAAACAACTCAGGGAAGCTGAAGCAACATCAAAGCCTGTAAGATAAGCACAGGGGGTTGTTGTGGGGAACGGGACAGCTCTGCTGGGAACAGGGACAGCTCTGCTGGGGCACCACACTCAGGATCAAGTGAGGGCATAGGACAGGCCTCACAAAGCTATTGAGACAACATGGACAAGATGAAATCAAGAGTTTGTTTACCTGTGTAGGTCCTCACCTCTAGCCCTGCCCCTGTCTCACAACATACCTTGGGGGCCTCCCCCTTGCTGCCAGGGGGCAGCCTCAAGACCCAGAAGTTCCTGTTGCGAAGCAGGTTCTCCAGGTTCTCCAGCCTCCGCTGCAGCAGCCCGTACTCCTGCAGCAAGGTCCCCAGCACAGCCCACTTGCTCTCCATGTGGTTACCAAACTCCACAGCTGTCTTCTCGCAATCAGCTAGCTTCTTCTCTGCTGTTCCTGTCCGTCCTTCCAGGTTCAGCAACTGACTGGCCTGGGCGTCCACCTTCCTCTCTACAGCCTGAATGGCAGCCACCACAGTCCAGAGTGAGATCTCTGCTGTGGGCAACTGGGGTTCACGCATCATACGGTCAGGAAAGACGGGGGCCCTATCTGGGAAGGGCGGGAACTGAAAAGGCATTGGTCGCCTGGCATCCATGTCCCATTCTTGAGCCTGTGTTCAAGGGGAGAAAGTGATAGCTCAGAATAAGAACATGTGTGAGAGAGAAGACCTAAAATAGGACAACTAATCAAATGTTATGGAATACCTTTGTTCTACCCAGCCTCTACCTCTGGCCTTGCTCATTAATGACATCAGTGATAGCTAGAGCAGCCACCCATCCATCCAACTAACCACTCTTCCATTTTCTTCTCATGAGAGCCAGGCTGGTTACCAGTTCACCTGCCTTGGCCCCTGGCAAGTCTAGGTCATGGCCCCCTGCCTAACCTGTCACAGACCCTTTCTCTGAATAAAATAGCTGCTTTCTTCATGAGCTATACTGAATGACAAACTTCCCATTTGGCTGTCATCTTTGTTTCAAGGTAGGAATTTCCATGCAACTTGTCTGAAGTTAATCTTCTGCACAATCTCTCTTGCAGGTTAGGGCAAGAATGATTATCTCTGCTTTACAGATGACGAAATTGGGGAACAAAGACGCAGCTGGTCATCCTTCAGCACCGCCCCCCACTGCCAACTGGCTGAGTTCTAGGCGCCACAGGTAACACAAACACTTGGCAAACATGTAGCCACTGCCATTCCTACTAGGCCTACCAGCCAGAGGAGACTGAGGACTTAGGCTAGATGGCATACCAGGAGTTGTTAAATTCCACACACAGCTACTTTTTCATAATTACGCAAAATGAAAATAGGTTTGCTAGACAGTATCACTTTATTAGACAGGAAGAGGGGACATTCTTCACCCTCTTGAGGACTACAAGGAAAAGCTCTATACTTCCTTCCCTACTTCCTGATGAGGGGGTTCCCCACGGCCCAGAGCCTCTTTCTTTATCTTCCAGGAGGTACAGGCTGGGAGCTGAGCCCTACGGCACAGAAAGGAGAGTGGAAGGCAGTCAGCATGGGCTGGATGACAACACAGGCTGCTAACTGGCTCATAACTGGCTCTCGGTTCCCCACAGGACAGGAAGTGTCTCTTTCTTTCTGCTCTCCCTGCTTCAGCAGTTGGGAAAAGTAGAATCCTACAGCTGTGAGGTGAGCTGGACAGGCCTTTAACAATCATACAAACTATTTTTCTCAAATTCAAAGACACTGTGACAGCCAGAGGACCACCCCACAGCGTCTAAGGATTCCCCTCTGACATGAGAGAGAGAACAGCAGGGCCCTAGGCATGCCAGCCAGCCCCTGAAGGGTCGTGGTGGCTGGATGGCCATCAGTGCCATCCATGGGGCTTATGGAGGCTTCACTGGGGCCTTGTCCAGAGAAGGGGGTTAGAGCGGCAGTGGAAGTTTAGGAAGTCAGAGGCTGTTGCATTTCACCAGGTTTGAAGACCTACTGCCGATCATTTTGCTCAAAAACAACACAGAGACTCTAGATTGACTTGTCAAGTCCTAAGCCCTGGTTGAAAATCAGGTGGGGACATGGGAGCCTTCTGCGGAGGAGTCCCAGTCCGGGCAACTCAAAGCCTCCCCTCTGAGACAGAGATCTGCAGCCACTCTGAACCCTCTTCCCCGTGTGTTTTATGCCCAAGGCCATCCTAGCTAAGTCCTAGGCACCCTGAGATTACTTACGGAGCCTAAAGAAACAACTGGAGCCTTGTCTCTCACCCCCAAGACCACGCTCAGGGATGCGGTTTGGGCGTCATCAGTTGTCTTAAGCTGCTCAGGCGATTCCAAAGCAGGCAAGTTTGTTAACCCAAGACGACAAAGTCCCCTCCCAGATGCTTCCCTGGCTCACCCCTTGTGCAGAGGGAAAGTGGACTGCTCTCTATACTCGGAAAAGGGCAGCTTCAAACCCTTTTACTAAACTGACTACGGTGTAAACATGGTTGGACTGTTCCCTCTGTGGGCCGGGAAAAGGCCTGCCACAAACCCAGGACGCCAAGAGGAACCCCGGTCCCCGCTCAGGGAGGCGACCCCGGCCGCGCCGGGCCGGGGGCAGCGCGGCC